GGCTGCGTTCAGCAGAGAAAACTAATCAGTTAGCGCTTAGTTATTCTTTAATACGATTGGTTCCTACGCTTAGATTTTGCGAAGAACTAACGGCAAGAACCAATCATATTAAAGAATCACTAAGCGCTAACTGATTAATTTTCTTTGCTGAACGCAGCCAATGCATAGTCTGATTCTAGCCTTAAGCGGGGAGCACAGACTCTTGCATAACGCATAACACGTAATGCATAAGAAAATGTACCAATCAAAGCCCTCCGTTTCTTTCCTTTCCATGAAATAAAGAATTCTGATTGATTGAATTTCTTATGCATTACATGTTATGCGTTATGCAAAAGTCTGTGCTCCCCGCTTTAAGGTAAATTTTCACGACCTGCTTCAACAGGCTATTTCAGCGACAAAAAGGATTATGTGGTCAAAATTGACGAACATCAAGCGTCCATTTTGATCACGTTATCCTTTTTGTTGCTGAAACAGCCGGTTTGAGCACCTCATGAAAATTTATCTTAACACGGCACGCTTAATCGGGTTTAATAACATCCATGGCATATCCTACGTTATTCAGCAGTTTGTGGCAAGAAGTCGATATGTAGATTGCAGATTGAAATGTTATCGAAGAATAACTTAAAATATTCCTGTCAAGTGATTTTTGTTATCTTTTCTAGATAATTGTTTTTTCTAACGTTTACTTAAAGGTACAACATTATAATTCTTGTGAATCATTCCCGTGACTGTACTTCCAAATTATGATGTCGATCTAAATTGCTCTTGAACATATCTGTTGTTGGATTATTTGGTTGCATTTTTGTTTATTAAATATAAATAAAAGACTTCTGCTTTTACAATTAAGATACGGTATGATTTTTTGTAATAATGAGATCTATAATAAAGTAAAGAAGTTATCAACGATGTACAGTTATCAACGAGTTATGAACAGAATGTTTAACCTAAGTAGAAATATTCTAATGTAATTTTTTTCTTTACACAATGAAGAAAAATTTGTATAAAGAGTATTGTAATTGAATTAGATAGATGTAAAGAATTACATATAATATAGGCGAGTTTTTTATTCGTTGATTGATCAATTGCATTGTAAGCAAATGTAATTTTGTTCCATAAAAACTATGTTTGCACATAATATGATTGATCAATCGATGAATTAAAAAACTTCTAGATATTGAATATAGAATACAATTATGATAGAAAATAACAGTTAGATTTGATCATTAAATTATGAATAAAGAATTATTTATGCTGACCATAATCTATTAACTTATGCTTTAACAATTCTTACAAATTACAGCATAAATTAACAAAATATGGTCAGTATAAATGATCCTTGAGAGCCAAAGACAGATGGTTGTAACTACAAATGTTTTATATTCCTCAGATACTTGAAATGGGTTGGACATTAGAGGTAGCTAAGATGTTTCTCTATTTATCGTTTCCTGTTGGAATATTTCACTATGTCAATCAGCCAGCCTACCTTGATAAGTGGGTGATAGAAGCAAAAAAGGAGTACTTCCCAGTCCAGAATAAACAGATGTATGAGCAGATGAACAACTTTATTCACGACTTCAATGCTAACGTTGAAAAGAAACGTTTGGATGCTTTGGAGAAGCAGATTAAAAACGAACAGTGAAGAAAATATATTGTAATGTTTCTAATTGTGATAGAAGTAGTAAAATTTATTTTTTTGTACAAAACATTAAAATACCTTTGGATGATTAGCAGTTAGTAAAAATAAAAATATTGGTGAAGACTGCTTTAATCTTCGTATTTTTCTATATTAGGAAGAGAATTTAAGGAATTTATAGGAAAATTAGCTTATTTTTTTTTTATTTTTTAACCATTTTATTTTATAAAATTTATTTCTTTGTGAAATATTTTTATTGTAATGTACTTTTTATTAAGTGTTATTTATTATATAAAGTATTTTTTATTATTTAAGAATAAATGTAATTAAGTAGAATATATTTTTATGTTATAAAAAATATATAATTGTTTTTATGTTTTTTTCCGTTTTTGAGATATAAATTATCATATGTCTTTGAACATCTTTTTAGTGAATGTGTATTTTATCGCCAACAATTTTATGGTGTATGTTATGAGGGATACGAGTTAGTCTAGGTGGCGTTTGTCATATACGGAGCAGAGAAAACGACGGTATGCCTCCTCTAGAAGGAGAGTCGAGAGAATCACTATGCTAGTAACATCTGTGTAATTAACCCGCATGTCACTTCCAATAAATGTTCCACTAATGTAAACAAAATGGTTTAAACCATTTGAGACTCCGATAAAAACACGCCCGTTGCCGTCCCGCCAGGGTGCCGTGCGTCCGTCATCATGTGGAAGTGCCACAAATGCGGCAAACCCGTTTACTTCGGTGAGTTTTCGCGATTTGCGACTTGTCGAGGCGACGTGCTCGCTCTGACAAGTATCATGCTACTCACGATTTGGAGCAGAGCGATCGATTTACCTCGTTACTGGACGTCATGGGTATCAGTGCAGAACACTCGGTTATGCTTTATATTGTGAATAAAGTGAAGAATCGGAACTGTCTATTGTTACTTTGATTATTTATAATATTTAAGATCGATATACATCTGTTCAATATTATAAAATAATAAGAAACCTTTACTGTCATTAATATTGTAACTCTCAGAGAAAGTTTAAATTTTAGATATATAATTCGAACAAATATATCAACTTTTTAGCTGAACGTAAACAGTCTTTGGGATATGACTGGCATCCAGAATGTTTGCGATGCGAGGAATGTGGGAAGCGATTGAATCCTGGACAACATGCAGAGGTAATGTAAATAAACAATTTATTGTTCTTTTAGTTATAAATTGATGTTATAGATCATATGATAATTATAATGTATGTTCTGTTATTATATTAAAATTAGCATAAAGGCGTGCCTTACTGCCACGTTCCTTGCTATGGAGCACTATTTGGACCTCAATTATTCGGCCATGGCACAAGAGTGGAATCACATACAAGTTTTGGAAAAAAGGAAAGTCGACCATCTTTACCAAGGTAAACACACATGAAAATCCTGTATAAATAATTTAAAATAAATTTGTAAAATTACCACAGTTGAATGTTTCACTGAAGAAGATAAACATTTTATTATTTAGATAATTCATTTAAATAATTTTTTAAAGATAAATATCTTTTTAGATCGCATTTAGAATCCAAGTTGAAAGTTTTTAATCAGTATTATGAAGGCAAAAGTGGAGGAATTCGAAGTCGTGAGGTATAAAGGCTTTTCGAAATATTTGTACTAACAAGGGAAATTTCACAACTATCTGGAACCGATTTGATTCTCCATGAAATATGTTGTAAAACACGAAAATCTAAGAGACACGTATTTTTTTATACGTGCGCTAATTCATGTTTAAGGGATGAAACATCCCTTTGAAAAAAAAAACGGTATTTTTCTTTCGAGGCAAATATCATTGGAAGTATAAAAGATAGAAAAAAATTTTTTAAACAAAAATTGTACAGTTTTAAGGATACTTCAATGTTGTGAAGAAAAACAAATTTTAAAAAATTTTTTTGTTTAACAATTAACAAAAAAATTTTTTTTAATTTATTTTTCTTCACAACATTGAAGTACCCTTGAAACCGTACAATTAAAAAAAAATTTTTTTCTATCTTTTATATTTCCGAAGATATTTGCTTTGAAAGAAAAATACCGTTTTTTTTCAAAGGGATTTCACCCCTTAAACATGAGTTAGCGCACGTATAAAAAAATACGTGTCTCTTAGATTTTCGTGTTTTACAACATATTTCATGGAGAATCAAACCGGTTCGGGACAGTTGTGAAACTTCCCTTGTAAGTTCTTATTGTAAAGAATATTTCTGTAAACAAATAACAATTTGAAACAGGTTAATGGAAGATTGATACTAGAAGGTGCGTTGAGAATTTATTGGGGAGTCCGTGGTGTAATTCATCTAAAGGAAGATGACGATCAGCGCACAGTAGTTACTGCACGAAATAGAAACTCATGCAGGCACAGTGTTTCTGAGGTTTGTCATTTTTATTTGCATTAAGGTTTGATAATAACATCTATTCATTGCTTTTAATTATGATAGGATGACGAAAATAAGGTAGATGAGCTATCTAAGAGTACATTGGACAGCAGTGTGGAGAATAATGCAAAGTCTGTTCCAACATCGCCCGATCATTTGAAGAGTCTCACTTTGCCTATGAAATTGGATGTCAAGAACATGGAATGGGACGAATTAGACGAACTTCTACAGGTTTTATTTTTAATATTTATATTTATTTCATTAAACAGATATAAACTAGAGAAGTATGATTGCAGGTGGAACGAAAAGTTGAGGATGGTAATAAATTATATCAGACGATGCCTGAGAATCTTCCGTCAATAAGTTCGCAATCTAGTGTGGATACGCCACCACTCTCGTCTCAGTCGAGTCTCGATCGATCAGATTCCCGCGAAAATTCGGAAACAAGCAGTCCTAATCATCACACTACTAGCCGAGATAACGACAGTAGCTTAAATAGCACACCAACGCACAGCATAGGTAGTTCTTCTAGTACAGACACTCCTGTCTGTAATTTAGGAGCTTCTAATCGAAATGGTACGCTTCGAAGAGTAGAGTACTTTGACAACTTGGAGAAGAACCCCAGCAATAAGTCAATTAGTACTGACGATAGCTGGATCGAAAAGGGTTTAAACCGATCGTTGTCCGGTCCTGATTGTCTTCAGAGACATAGAACTGATAGTGATACGGATTCGGTGAATTCTTTGCAATTCAGAGAGGACGACAATATGACTATGTCTACAGACAGCGGATTAGAGGTATCATATTGCGAATATTTATTATGTCGGCTCCATAATTTTAAGTGCACGTATGAATTTATCTTCTGGTTGCAGCTAGATGGTGTCATTTTACGTCGTAAACAAGGCTCCACTGCGATCAGACGACGTCCGGGCGGCAGACGTCAATCGCGAAGCCGATTACGACGTCGTTGCTCGATCAACGGCCACTTTTACAACCGAGAGACTAGTTTCTTCACACCGCCTCACGGGTCGCAGATGTCCGTTTGGGTGACGAGTCTAGTGAACACTCAGGAAGTTATTAATCTTATGCTGGACAAATATAAAGTCGATGCCAAGTCCGATAACTTTGCATTATTTGTAGTCCGCGACAATGGTGGTAAGAAAACTGCAATTCTCTAGGAAATTGACTTACTTGTGATTATATTTTTCTTCACTATATACAATCTGTATTGTTTTCAGAGCAAAGAAGACTGAAGGATGACGAGTATCCTTTAGAAGTTCGAGTAGTCTTGGGTCCTCATGAGAACGTTGCACGACTGTTTCTGGTCGATAAGTTATCCACGCCTGAAATCAGTTCCGATGTTGCGCAGTTTCTTAATTTATCTGTAGCAGAATGCCATGGCATACTACAACGTTATCATTATGAAGAGGAACGTCAGATTATCGTCTTAAAAGAAAAGTGAGTATATAACATTTGTCAATAAGAATCACAATATTATAATAATTCGATATTTCAGATATAAAGAGATGCGAAAAAGAATAAAACAAAGAATGGAAGAGCTAAAAGTTCGTTTATAGATAAAATGATGAATGAATGTTCGCATGGATATCCACGCAATTATTTTTATAAGCGCTTAAAAAATTTCTCTGTAGAAAAATGTTCATGTGGCAAATTTCTAATTCGTACCATGCCGAAGGTATGTATTGCAGTAACATGACACAATCTACGATATAAAGCATTTCTGAAATACTATACAATATACGCCTGTATTTCAGTTTTATTTGTAGCTTAATGAGTTTTCTACAAGCTATTACCTAAGTTTTAAGTCTTAAACCATAAGAAATTAACCAATCACAATTGAATGTCAGAAGAGTAATCAATATGAGAGATTGTTCAATTTTTTATAGCTTGAGACTTAAAGCTTAGGTAATGACTTATTGTAGAAGGCCCATAATACTTCGTTATGTTCTCTTTCATTTTAAAATTCTGTTGCATTTATTCTATAATTGTTATATATGGAATTGCTATTAATATTATACTTTAATATGGAGATTGAATCTCTAACGATTTTATATCAAATTTTTAGATTTATCAGAGATGACGTTTTATATATATATATGTATGTATATATATATATATAAAATAGACATAATATGTGAAATATGTTATTCTTATATTTCTGTTATACAATTAATTAAAATGATTGAAAAATTCAGGAATATTTTCAATTTATTTTGTATTGTAGGCAAGGCCTACAATATTTTATTAAGAATTCAAACAATATTAGTATAAATTACTAGTGCTGCAATAATTGTTTATAAAATTAGTTAAATTAATGAAGAAAAGATTAAATTAATCAAGTAAAGATATATTTGATATTTTTCTGCATGAAAGTTATTTATAATCATATAAAATTCTACTGTCACGATGGATAGAACATTGTGTTTTATCACAATTTTTCAGCATTCCGACATCTTGATGAAGTGATAAAAAAATAATGAAAACATATTTTTCTATCGGTTTTTAAAGGAGATCCGTTTAATGAACGAGAAATCATTTATCAAATAGATGTCGATAATAACTGTTAAGAATTTAAAGTCTTCTATCCTTTGCATGTCAACGTGGCCCAGATATAAGTGGATATATACATATTATGT